TATTTGAATAATGATTTTAGGCAAAATAATAATTGAACGAAATAAACATAATTATTATTAAGATTGTTAATATGTTTAAGATCGCAAAATGAAATAATGCGGAAGATTTGAATTGGTTTCGGCAACAAGCGTGTTAAATATAATAATGGTGGTAAGTTATCATTGTAGTTTCGAATTATTGTTAGTTACGGAGACTTAGACAATGCACAATACTTCATTAGAAAATCCATTTTTCCCTATTCATCCGCATATGAAATATGCCTACAAATAATAATCTTTATTGACAATTGTGAAAATCCTATGCAGTGCACCTACTTTGTCAGCTATTTTTAAATGCCATTTTTCATACAGGCAACTATGCCTACGTTCAATAAATCATTGAATGTTCAATCATTTTAATGAAGACAATTACGTCTAAGATATTTAAATGTGGGTACATCGAGATTACAAAGGACGGTGAAACTGTTGCTAATGCGAAAACGGAGCTTCGAGGAAGAGAGAAAAAGAGATAGAGAGAGAGGGAGAGGAGAAAGAGGAAAGAGGAAAGAGAGAGAGAGAGGAAGGTAGGGTGGGCGAGAGAAGAGGAAGAAACGAAACAAAGTAAAGAGATATTTAGTACTTCAAGAAAGAAAATGTAGAGAAAAAAACGATAGACGAAAGAAAAAGAAACAAGTAAGAAGAAAAAACTGGATAGGGAGAGAGGAGACAGAAACAAGAAAGAGAAGATGAAAGAGAGAAAAAGGTGGAAGAGAAAGAAAAAAAGAGAGTGAAGAACTAGAAAACAGGGAGAAGACAGAAACGAGAGCAAGAATAGAGGAAAAGGATAGTGAAAAACGATCGAATTTCAGAGAGAGATAGGAAGAAAACAAGGGACAAAATAGAAAACAGGGAAGAAAATAGGGTGGAGAAGACAGATAACGAAGACTAAGAAAAAAGACAATAAAAAGAGAACGAGAGAAATGACGAATACGAGAGTTAGAGGCGAGAAAATGTCAAAATAAGGGTCAAATGCAAAAAAGTTGGATGAATGAGGGAAGAAAAATTGAAAAGAGTTAACATTGTATAGAAATATGAAAGCAATAGAGATGAAAGATCTGAAACAAATTGAGAATGAAAGAGAAAAAAAGGACAAGAAAATGAGAGAGAAGAGAAGTGAGAGGTAGATTGAAAAAACAGACAAGAGGGAAAAGAGAGAGAAAAGAGTAATAGAGAAAAAGGATAGTGAAAAACGATCGAATTAGAGGAAGGAAAAAATAAAAACATGAAAGCAATAAAAATGAAAGATATGAAGTAAATGCAGAATGGAGGAGGGAAAAGCATAAGAAGGAGAGAGTGGACAGAAGAGAGAAAATATTGAAAAAAGAAGAAAAGGGGAAAAGAAATAAAAAAAGAGAGAATAGAGAAGAAGCATTAGTGGCGTGAAAAAGAGAAAATGAAGGTGAGATGCAAATAAAGAGATGCTGAATAGAGAGAAAAAAAACTGAAAAGAGAAAGAGGTAACAATGTACATAAATAAGAAAATAAGAGGGACGAAAGATATGAAGTAAGTGAATAATAAGAGAAGGAAGGAAAACGAGAAAAGAGAGAGAAGCAAAAACAGAGAAAAATAGGATAGGTAATTAAAAGTGTGTTAAAATAATTACAAAAAAAAGATAACAAAAATATGAAGAAAAGGCAAAAAAATGTGGTAGAAAAACGATAAAAACCGCAGCAGAAAAAGGCGGACAAAAGTCTGCAAAAAAAGCGAGAAAAAATCTACAAAAAAAGACGGAAAAAACAAGACTACAAAACAACGACAAAAAATTACGATTTTTTTTCTCAAATCGTATCTTCATTACAAAATTACATATAATTTCAGGAGTTCTGACTTATGAATGTTGTATGTTATATGTACATTATTTCCTAAAATGCAAGGGGGGGTACAAATTTCGTCCAAAAAATTGCTATATACCTACATTTAATAAGGGTGTAATCATCTTTATTAAATAATTTAAAAGTATCACGAATTGAACAAGAATTATAGAATCACATATTTAAATTTTGCTAAACCCAACATTCCAGTTTCAGCACCCCTTCCCCGAAATCCGCAATTCCCATCCAAACATTAATACCGAAACCAAATAATTCCCGAATATTAGACCCCGCCATTAATATCTCAAAAATCAAACATCCTTTCGCCGCCGCAATTCCGCCCCCTCCCCCAGCTCGCCCCGACGACAAACGTAAAAATTATGTCTTTATTTTCGTCGGGCGAACTTTATGTCTTCGCCGTCCATAAAAGACTTCATTCGGTCTCTGGCAATAACGGCAAGACAAACGGCCGCGGAGGCGCGCGCGGCGTCGCGACGCCCCGCCCCGTCCAATGGGCGGCCGGCGTCGGGGGCGAGGGAGCGTCTCTAATAAAGCGCGTTTCACACAAATCTGGGCCGTGTCGTCGGTGGGTGGGCCGAAGGGTCGATAAGAGGCCGCGACGGCGCATTTTCGCGGCGAGTCGGCAGTCGGTCGGCGGTCGTTGCCGGGGCCGAATATACGATTTTTGGGCGCGAGTGGCGGCGGCATGATCAGCCAGTGCGGCGAGGACAGGGTCGGACTGGAGATCGAGATGCTGAGGGTGCCGCCGATCTCGATCGACGACATCCCGCAAGTGCTCTTGTGTAAGTCGGGGGCGGCGGCGGCGCCGGTGGTGGGGGGCGAGTGCCGGCGGCGAAGGGACGTCGGCGTGAAGGCGGCTTAAGAGTTGTTTTTTTTTTTCTTGTAGGGAACGTAGGGGGTCAGTGGAACGGAAACGTGTATAGGTCTGATACTAGAGAAAAGTGGCGGCTGTGGTGTTGGTTAACTGTTAGTTGTCGGTCTGCCGGTATACCACTAGAGATCAGGTTTTGCCGGCGGAAACAAAATGCAGCTGCGGCGAAAGATGCACGAGTGAAATTAAGGACACGCTGTTGTTTTCTGGATTAAATTGACCGACCAGAAGCAGTTTGTAAATATATGAGTACTGCGCATAATATTATTAACATAGAATATTGTGATTTTATAATATGACATGATTTTTTATGAATATATTTTATTTTTGGAAAGGTTAGTTCAATTTCAAAAATAAGACGGACGAAAATACTTCGAAAACTCGACAAGGTACGTTACGTGAACAAAATCAGTCAATTTTTACAGTGTTTAGATGTGGTTTTGTTTCGAATGTTTTTGATATATCCTAGGATGCAATTATTTAATTTATTTTTAGACAGTTAAGACTGATCGTTAATTTAAAAAAATGGAAAACAAAAACGTAATTGTCATTAAAAATACGCAACCAACATGAGATATCTTTATCAATAAAAATGTATAATTTTTTTAATGCCAAAAATTTAATTCTAATCGGTCAGGTATTTTTCAATAAATATTTACTCTATTTAGGATTTGTGTCACGACGTCATCAACTTTCTGAAATGGAGGAACAAATAAATATTAATTTATGTATTTTTTACGATAATCACTATACTTTTAATTGCCAACACATTAGCGTTGTTTTTTATACAACGGTTGATTATTAAATAAGTTATTAAATCTGCTGATTAAGCAAGAACACAAGGATTTTATTAAATAATTGTTGCAGGTGACGCGAGATGAAGTAAATTTTATTCACACGTTCATGACAATCGTTTTTATAAAAAAAAAATGTGTTATTAGTGGTTTTATAAGCAATTTTCATTCTAAACCTTAAGTTTTGCCGCCGTTATTAAATATTAAATCAGTTATAACTAAAAATGAACGCAGTTTAAAATTTATTTCCTTATAAACTCAGCATCAAACCCTCAAATCCGACCATCATCAAATTACGCTCATTTCCCTTTATTAATTCCTTCATCAAAATTTCACAGTTTACGATTCATAAACATCCCATTTGTTTATGCAAAATCTCTGCTCCAAATTTTACGGCATTCACCTTGTACACTAAATTTAATTGTAGCAAAAAGTTATCCGCTTTCTTGTATTCCTCATTTCACGTGAACTTTTTAGATTCGGTTTGCGGCTTGTCGCGTTTCGCCTGATTAATTGTCTTATTGCTCTCTAGTTCAACTGATTTTATTCACTTCGAGACCACCACTAAATGTTTAAGTGCTTTTAATTCCGCTGCGCTCCTTCTTCAATAAATTTTTATTGACCGTTTGATTGTACTGGGTTTATGTGACATGTGACCTCGCTAAAAATAAAACCTTTGTTGGAAAATTAAATATTTTCGGTTAGATTTTAGGTCATTTAACTATGAATGTCTGGCTAACACGATACACCTTAATTGCTTTATCTTGTTTTAAAATTTTAATGTAGCAAAATGGTGAACTTCCATAAAATTAGCATTCTGCCGCACGCAAATTTGCCCCAGGGATGTTATGTAAATGATTTACTTTTAAAAAGTGGGATGAATAGGTAAATTATGTGCAAGAGGGGAGCTTCGCAAAAGAATGAGGTATGAAAGGTGTTATTTTTGGTTTTGCATTATAAATGACCGCACATCAAGATAAATACAACAAAAACAGTTTCAAAGTTGAGCATAAATTGAGTTTATCGAGAAATACGAGCGTATTTTGTCTGTTTAAAAATGCAAAAGTAGCTGAGCTAGGCAACCAGATATACAAACATGGCGGTGTGTTAGAAGTATACAACCATTAACAATAATAATAATCATCAATTACTTTCACTTGTTTACATAATTCGACCAAATTTGTGATATTTCTTGACGAATGCTCTGTAATATGTAAATACAAGTGTATTTTTTAAGTTTAAGCCACCATCTTGAAAATAAACATGCGTGCTATACTACAAACATCGTCCGTTGTGTTGAAAAAAATCTTCTCTTTATTCACATAAGTTATCTGAGTATTTACATTTTCACCAAATATATCTACATATACAGGATGTTTCACTAAAGCCTCCTTCCGTCCCTTCCACCGACCACTCTCTTCTAAACTATCAAGTCGCTCAAATCTCACTCGTCCTCCTTGCAGCAACCATACCGAAATGTGGCGGCTGCCACGAACTCATCCTCGACCGCTTCATCCTCAAGGTGGCGGACCGGACGTGGCACGCCAAATGCCTTCAATGCAGCGATTGCCGCATCCAACTGACCGACAAGTGCTTCGCCCGCAACGGCCAGCTCTTCTGCAAGGAGGACTTTTTCAAGTAAGTGTCACATCCTTGCAAACCAATTAGCGCAACCTCGGCGCCAAGTGCTTCCGAAGCCTTATCCGGGCCGGCGGCAATTAATTCGCCGCCCCGTGGGTCCGGAGAAGCCTTTGATAAGCATCTCGGCGTGACGTAGAGTAGTACGGATGTAACAATGCAGCTTGTGTATGTATGGCGTGCTGTGGGTGCAGACGGTTCGGCACGAAGTGTGCTGGATGCGACCTGGGGATCCCTCCGACGCAGGTTGTGCGAAGGGCCCAAGACAACGTTTACCACCTGCAGTGTTTCTCGTGCGTTATGTGCGCCAGGCAGCTGAACACGGGAGACGAGTTCTATCTGATGGAGGACAGGAAACTGGTGTGTAAGCCGGACTATGAGGCGGCGAAGTCGAAAGGTTGGTAACACCGATACCTTTTTTGATTGTTTCAGTAAATGAAATATAGAAATAGAAAAATTTAAAAAGAAGTAAATTTTATCTCAGAGATTACATATAAAATTTTTATAAAGCACAAGTTTATTAAACATCGAAAATTCTAAAATTTACGACTTACATTTTCAGCCGCCGAGTGCCTGGACGGCGACCAGCCCAACAAACGCCCCCGAACTACCATAACCGCCAAGCAACTCGAAACCCTCAAAACCGCCTACAACAACAGTCCCAAGCCCGCCCGCCACGTCCGCGAGCAACTCAGCCAAGACACCGGCCTCGACATGCGAGTGGTGCAAGTCTGGTTTCAGAACAGGTATACTAAGAAGGAAATAATGTGGACTTCAATAAAACTCCAAAAACCACCAACAATATATCTTCCTCTACCAAATTTTCTACTTGTAATAAACTTCACAACAATCCCATAAGCAAGATACACAAAAATATCATGATTATTTTTATTCTGTATATGAAATGAATCTGTACTGAAGTAGCACTACACAATTTTAGGACCTATCTCTAGTAATAACAAGAATAAGATGATAAAAATACGCTATTAGCGCGTATGCGAGTCTTCGGAGTCCACGTCATCTTTTTCGTACTATACCTCCCCGCCTCCTCTTCCCGCACTCACTCTCGTCGCTTCCAGGCGAGCCAAGGAGAAGCGCCTCAAGAAGGACGCCGGCCGCACCCGCTGGAGCCAGTACTTCCGGTCCATGAAGGGCGGTTCCTCCCCTCGTCACGACAAGCTCCTCGACAAGGACGAGATGAAGGTGGACCTTGACAGCTTCAGCCACCACGAGCTCAGCGACGACAGTTACGGCACCGTCGTCAACATGAGCATGGACCAGGACGGGTCGTCGCCGCACAGCGGCATCGGCCGCCCTTCGTTCCTGCACGGCGCCGCCTCCCCGTCCTACCTGCCCGGCCACACGCCGCCCCACGGCCACGAGCCCTTCCCCTACCCCGAGCAGCTGGCGGTGTACGCGGGCCTGGGGCAGCCACCGCCGGGCCTGCCGCTGCCGCACGGCATGCCCCCGGGTGCCGACACGGACGTGAGCAACGACAGCAGTCCGAGGGGCTACCCCGACTTCCCGCCGAGCCCCGACTCGTGGCTGGGGGAGCCGTCCAGCGCCCACTACTGACCCCACAAAGCACGAGGGACACTTGTTTTGCGATTTCGAGTTTCTAGGTGTCTTTATGCGTGTAGTGCACAAAGTACTGTCAATTCGGGGACGGGGGCGGGAGCGGGAGTGCGGACAGGGGCGTTCTAGTCGAGATTCATACAGAGATGATATTGTAATATAAGTGTCAGGTTTAATATTCTAGTCGTCAATTTATTTTATATATTTTATTGTTTCATTATTATATTATTTAGTAAATTATTATTAATTTCGAGGGTGTTTTATTGGGGGGGGACGACTGACGTGTAGGCAACACACAAAACACTCATAATAACAATACTTTGGACACATTACTTTTTCTTTATAGAAAAAAGCCCTCATTTTCCTCACTCAGAAAAGTCTAAATCAGCGAGGAAACTTTTATTTTCCTCACCTCTATGAAAACCGGTGTAATAATAAAACAGTTATTTCTTATATACAAGACGAAAGTGACTTCTCAACAACATTTCTTTTACTCTCGTAAGAAAAATAAAAACTTTTCGTCCCTCTAGAATAAATAAAAAATTAGTTTTTTGCCACAAATACGTAAAAATATAGGTTTATTTCGGGTCCAACTCAAAGTGGAATGTCAGTCAAGAAGGGTTAAGCATAGCAAAATACGTCCAGACTCCACATATATAATACAGATGGTTTAATGTCAATTTACTCCAAAAACAAAAAATAAGGCTGAAGACGAAGACAACTAATCTTTGAAACATGAACCCCAATTTCCATTAAACCATGTCTGGAGTCTGGACTATACTGAACCCTTCCCAAATACTTAAGACTACACATTTTATAGCAAGTGGAAAGTTTAGACCACAAACCTCAATGGGTTAATCATGTGAGCGTTAAACGGCAGTTTTCATTTACACTTTTTTCAAATCAGCGGAATTCCACTCATAAACTGCACTCGGCAAAATCCTTGCTGACGACACCGAAAGCAGTAAATTCCCGGAACATGGCGCCTCCTCCATCAACATTTTTCTAACCAGACAACTATTGAACCCATTTTCTCCCAACGATAAATTCAATCATGTCATAACATCATTTGTTTCAATCAGCTCTGCAGCAAATTAAACGGAATGCGAAGGACCTTCGTCGTGTGTGAATAAATAATTGTTCTGAAAATTCAGACACGAGTCGCGTTAGTTCTGTGACGGATCCTCTGGCAAACCAGTTCAGTTCCGCATTCGTCGTCGAAAAAAATCCGAGACGAGTTGGAAGTTTGCTCTGGAACTGATTAACCCTTTTGGGGCAACGTACTGCGGACAAAGAAGTGACGTCACCGCGTACTAACACTACATGAGTGGTTGTTGAGCGACGCCAATGCAAGATTTTAAAAAACGCGCATTACGGACGAGGTAAGGTGAAAAATAGATCATTTGCATGAGTATCGCGCGATCTGGTACGAGTCGTACCGTTGCAACTTCCCTTAACATGTCCTGTCATAAATCACAAGCTTAATTGAAATCCGGTCGCTGGCATTTATATTGATGACGGCTGATCTAATTCTGGTACTACATGTAGGTTGATCGATTTGGCCCCAAGCTGTCTGGTGCGACAATCAAATGGGACTCGTTCTGCAGATTGTTTTAGTAATTATCGTCATTCATGTCTCCGTCGTGTACAACTGGCGCCAGGACAGACGTGAGATTTTATGCTGTAACACTACCAAAAACTACAAGTCGTACTTTAGGTCCGCGTGTCATGGGCGATAAAATTCCTTTTAAGGCCATCTTCCCGAACAACCGCCGCATCCAGAGGAGGATCGTCAGGTACCACAACTCCTTCAGGACCAGGGTAATACCCAAAGCCGCCAACATGCTACGAATGGTACCATAAACGTACCGGATGAATTCTGTCGTCATATCTTCTGGTACTTCTTTTGCAGAAATGGCACAAAGGCGCCTCTCATGCTGCCCAGCGCTGGGCCCAGGAGTGCCTCTTTCTAGTCCATGACAACATCACCGGCCGCCACATCGACAACTACGGCTCCTGCGGTCAGAACATCTTCATCGCCACGAAGAAAGTGCCATGGTACTGACCACTCACACTAAAACCCCCAATGCATTGTTTCGTTCAAGGTTGTTCGCCATCAAGTCTTGGTTTTTGGAAAGAGATAATTTCACTTATGGCGGGACGAACAACAACCTCCATGTTGTAGGGCACTACACCCAGATGGTGTGGGCCACCACGCATGAGGTGGGTTGCGGTCTGTCCTACTGCCGCCTCCAGGATACCGAGAAGACGTTCTACAACTACGTATGCAACTACTGCCCGATGTAAGGTTACTGAACTCGCTTATCTAAATTTTGCTAATTTTGATCAATTACGAGAACAAAGACACGATTACACGCTCTAGTAGTACCATGAGTTTGTTTTAGAGGTAACAAACCAGGGCAATTGGGGAAGCCTTATCGAAGAGGGAGGCCTTGCGGGATGTGTAGGAAGAATTGCCATGCCAAGAGACTGTGTACCAATACGTGTCACGCGGCTGACCTTTGGGTGAATTGCAAGGACTTGTATAAAGGATGGCCGCTTTGGTTGTGTAGCACTGATACCCCGAAGGGCAGGGAGCGATCGAAAAACTGTAGGGCCACTTGTACATGTAAAAATAAATTACACGATTAAAATGGGTGTTTGTGTTGTGATTTCCAAAGTGGAAGAAATTATGAAAAAGGAAGTGTGAACATGTTAGTTAACCGCACAAGTCCACAGTAAAAATTCTGATAAAGTGCGAACAATTGTTTTTATATATTTTATTGTTTCACTTTTATATCATTCTGTAAATTATTATTAACTTTGAGGGTGTTCCATGGGCGGAGGAGGGACGACTCGTGTATAGGCAAGGCAGAAAACCCACAATAATAATGTGGGTTACATAAATTTAGGCGCTTAGTATTTAATGTTGCTACGACCCTCAGAATATACGAGAGATTAAGGCCAGTGATAATACGATTGGTGCTATACTGTATGAGACGCGACCTTAATATTGTCACCACTCAATTATTACAATGTATTGTATTGACCCTATCTATTCAAGAAAGAATGACAGCGACTAAAAAAAATTCGGAATTCCTGCATAAAAAATAGATAATTAACATGAGTATCGCGCGATCTGGTGCTTGTCGTACCATTGCAATATCCCTTAACACGTCTTGCCATAAATCGCGAACTTAATTAGAAGCTAATGGTTCCGGTCAACGGTCGTTGGCATTTATATGGAAGACGACTGTTCTCTAATTCCGATTCCACACGTAAATAGATCAATTTGGCCCCAAGCTGTCTACTATTAAACCATAGTACCAAAAACTGCAAGTCATACTTTAGGTCCACGCATCATCGGCGATAAAATTCCCCCATCGTCCTGAACAACACTCGCGAGGATGATGGTCAACTTCCACAATTACTTCAGGACCAAGGTGGTACCCAACACAGGTCGTTACATCTACGGTGCCATGGTACTGACCACTCACACCAAAACCCCCAATGCATTGTTTCGGTCAAGGTTGTTCATCATCAAAACCTGATACAGGAAAAAGGACAATTTCACTTACAGCAGCGCGAGCAACGACTTCAGTCTAGTAGGGTACTACATCCACATGCTGTCGGCCAGCACTCACGGGTGGGTTGCGGTCTGTCCAGAGCAACTGGGGAGACGTTCTACAATTACATATGCAACTACTGTCCGATGTAAGGTTACTGAACCCGCTTATCTAAATTTGCTAATTCTGATCAATTAAGAGAACAAAGGCGCAATTACGGGCTCTAGTAGTACCATGATTTTTTTATAGGGGTAATGGACCAGGACAAATCGGGAGGTCGTATCGAAGAGGGAAACCGTGCGGGATGTGCAGGAAGAATTTCCATGCTAAGAAACTGTGTACCAATACGTGCCACGAAGCAGACTTTTGGGACAACTGTAAGGACTTGTACAAGCTGTGACCGCAGTGTTTGTGTAGCATTGATATCCCGGAGTGAAGAAACTTTAGGGCTACTTCTAAATATAAAAATAAATTGCACGACTGAAATGGTGTTTGCGTTGTGATTTCCAAACTCGAAGAAATCGTGAAAGAGAAAGTGTGAAAATGTTATTATTTACGCTCGGTACGAATTTGATGATTCATTAAAATGTACGAAGTGGTGGGCGGAGCAGTGACGGAGAAATGGTCAGTCTAAAGGGGTTCACTAAATTCGGAGCCTCAATGAAAGAGACAAAACTTTTTTCGATTTTGATCACTAAAAAAAATTAATTTTTAAGACAAATTCATTTTTGCAAATGTTGAAAAACTTTTTCAAGAATTTCAAAAAACGAGACAAAATTTTTAAACAAAATTACAGGAAGGAAAAGATTTTAAATGTTAAAAAACATAAAAAATCTTAAAAAATACAAAATTTAAAACAAAATCTTGATCAAACTTCGAAAAAAAATCAAAATTAAAAAATCATCAAGAAAAAATAACATGTTGAATTGACGAATCAAATCAAAATTTGAAAAAAAAAAAATGGATAAAGATAAAATACAATTCGTAAAAAAGTATGCTGTGAGAAAAATCGTCTAGCACCTCAAATAAAAATCTTAAAAAAATCGTCACACTAAAAAGATTAAAAAAAATACAGAGCTTGATATAATTGAATCAAGTCTCTAAATTTTTTACGGAGAGACACATTTTGAAGCAAAAGTATGTAAACAAATTTAAGAAAGAGCTACACTAAAAGATTGTTTAGAAAAAACTTATTTTGAAGCAACAATATCAGAATTGTGGAATGTTGACAAGAATACTCGAAAGTTATGCGAGATAATCGTACCAGCAACAATAATGTTAATGCCAACATAAAACTATTTACTGCTTAATATTTAAAATAACCATTAAATATTCAAGTCACGACAGGTCCGAAAACTTGTAGTACCGCCGCTGCTCACAACGCGAAAAGCCAAATTAGTAGGAACGAAGAGGTATCATTTATGGTGGTGAACATGCGTTTGAATTTCCGTTATAACGGGTGTAGGTCAGAGCAGCTTAATTTTGGAATTGATATACTTATGCAGAGAGTATTTGGTCCGCGAAGGATGCCTATTTGATCCCGTATTTATTTGTTTTCTTATAGCATGACGAACAAATTGGATGGACTATTGCGTTTTTTCAGAGTAACTAGTGGAAAGTCGTCTACCTTCGGACCACTTTACATCAAAATTTGTTTACTCATTATCGAGTAGGTTTATGGTAAAAGTGAGAAAATATCTTTCGTCGTATCTAAAAAAGAAAACGAACTGGAGTGGAAATTATACATTCAAAACGTCCCAGTCCGAAAAAGATATGAAAAGAAAAAGTAAAAGATCTGTAATCTCGGGGCACTCGATTATAAAGTATGACGAGCGATTCGCGAAACTTGACCGAACCCTGCATTGTCGAAAATTCGTAAGGACCAAACCTGCCCAATCGTAACATTGTCGCAACCTCTTCCCAATCAATTCTCCATTCCTCGCTCTTTCTCCACCTTTCCTCCTCTAAGCATACTTCCATCCAATATCAGTCCGACGCGACAAGAATAGAGAATTAGCCAAGCGTGTTGTCATGCTGTCTTGAGTCGCACTCCAGAATCACAATGACTGCCTCTTTTTCAAACCCTTACTGTACTCTCGCCAAACACACACGAACGTTCGACGCGACATGTTGTGCGCCACCAAGAGGCCCTTCCGGCTGTCGGACGCCGTCACCAAGTTCCCCCAGATCAAGGAGCACGACTCCACCATCGAGCTGGATTCGCTGGAAAATTGCGAAAAGGTAACCGCCGCCCCCGTTGCACACCTCGCCTTAATTCCTACGTTGCTAGAACGAAGACGATGATGACATCGCCGATAACGATCAGAAGGAGCTCAACTTGAACGGCTTATGCAAAAATGAGTCTAGCGAGTGTTACGTTGACGAAATCGTGCTGCCGGGGGAGTCGCTGCAGAGCTTGTCGGACCTGAAGGTGCTGAGTTTGAGGTCGAACGGCATCCAGAATTTTCCGAACAGCATTCTGCAGCTGGTGACGTTGGTGACGTTGGATTTGTCGGATAACAGTCTGCTGACGCTGCCGCCGGAGATCAGCGCGCTGGAAAAGTGAGTTTAGGTGTAGTGGAACGCAATTACGGCGAGGTTTGCGGCGGAGAAAATTTCGGGTTTCGTAACGAGAGTTTTCGGCGGCTTTTTGCGCCAAAGGATGTGACTTGACCTTCGAAATCTTACGTAACTTCTTGGAAATTCAGACAGCGAACGTGGTTTCTGCTCGTAACTACGTAAAGATGAATATGTAAACAGGGCTTTGTTTTTCAGATAGTGTCGTGTTGAATTCAACTTTTTTTTCTGCAACCTTTTGAGATACTAAAATAGTAGTTTCAATAGTGTCTTTTTGTTTCTCCAATTTTCTTAGTCAAATCAAAAACAATTCAAAAATTAAAATAAAGTCGAAGTAAAAATTATGTATGAAAGTTTAACGTAAATATTTATCTGAACTACGTGTTAAAATATCTATAAGTTTCGTAGATCGATAAAAACTTATGATAGATATTAAGACTGACTTGAACCCAAATTTTTAGATCCGAAAATCCTTATTTCTTTACGCTTACGAAAAATTTACCAAATCTAAGAAACCTGACTGAAACAAACCCATACTTTCCATCGCTCGTCCGTGTTCGCGTGATGCATACGTGATCCGAACCGCTCGACCCATCCACCTGAAACGTTCACAATCTCAGCCCATCAAGAAAAGAGAACGTCACGAATGAGTAGCGCCTCGCACGTACACGACGCACCAACCACCCCATCAAAACAAACCCACATTCCCATCAAACCTGGCACCATCACCTGTCGCCGGTTATTACGGCACGCAGCCTCTCTCTACCACAAATCACGCTCTCTCAGCCCCTTATCTCGCATCGAACATCAAAACTCTCGTCAAACCCCCAAACCCATGTCCTCATCCTCCATTTACGAAACCTCTTCTCTTCGAAACATAGAAACTGCGATGAATGAACTTCCGTTGTTTCTTTCACGGTTCCTCGCTCGTCCGAAACGCATACGATTAAAACAGCACAGACCCGATGGTCAATTCGTGCGTGTCTGCGGCGAGGCTGGCGCGTGCCTCCTCATCGGCTCCTCTTCGACCCGACAAACCCCAAAACCGCCAACAAAAAACCGAAAAAACCCTCAAAGAGCGCGTCCTTGGCGCGCCCCGCATGTGCATCCGGCCGTTGGAAACTTTCGTTTTCTTTGCGTAGCCTCAGCGAGCTGGTGTTGGATCAGAATCTGCTCAGCGTTCTGCCGACGACTTTATGGGACCTGAAGGCGCTCCAGACGCTCAAGGTGGCTAGGAACAGGCTGGCGCTGCCCCCGGACAAGCTGGGAGAAATGAGGGCGCTGGTGCTCGCAGTGAGTGTCGCGAAATCGTTGCGTTTCGAAAAGTGAATCGAGTGTTGCAGGAGGCCGAGCTGAAGCCCGAGAACCAGCAGAAGCCCAACAACCTGACGACGCTCAACCTGCGCTCGAACAGACTCAAGGGGAACATCATCTTGGGCAACTATGGGGTAAGTGAGGCGGCGCAATGTGGGATTACCCAACCCAGTTCGCGCTGGTGTTGCAGAACCTGACGGAGCTTGACGTCAGCGAGAACAGCATCGAGAATTTGGATCTGAGCGCCGTGGAGCAGCTCCAGGTGCTGCAGTGCTCGAGGAATTCCATTACGCATTTGACGCTGTACGGGCGCCACTTGACGTCCATCATCGCCGGAAATAACAGTAAGAACTTTCGCTTCCGGGGGAACCGCCGCCGAGATTTTCACGACTTCCTGAACGCCTCACAGTTGCATTCCGAAACTCACAAAACTTAAAAATGACGTAAAACAAGAAAAAAACAGAACAAAGGAAATTATTTCCAAACAACGATCAAGGCTACAATAAAAAAACTTTCTTTTTTAACACAACGCAGAGATTTAATTCCAGGAAGTGGTTCGGACTGTGGCGGTTCCTCTTCGTAGTTCTACATGAGAACGTTTTGTTTTGCTTTAAGGATTGAAGCATTTAATTTTGGCCCACCCTCCGCAAAGCCTCAAGCACCTGGACGTTTGCTACAACGAACTCGAAACACTCCCGGAATGGTTATGTGGCTGCAGCGAGCTGCGATGCCTCTTCGCCAGCAACAACCTCCTCACGACACTCCCGGACCACCTCTTCTGCAACGAAATGCCCTTTCTGCACACCCTCCAAATCGCCTACAATCAACTCCAGTATCTTCCCACCATTCAAAGACGGCTTCCCATCCAGGAGATGTTTCTTCAGAACAACAGTCTAGCGGCTCTTCCGGAGAACTTTTTCAAGTTCGTGCATTGCATACGCGTCCTCAACCTGTCTAACAATCGTCTATGTGATCTACCGACACCAGATGAGCCTCTCCAGCTGGAAAAACTCTTCTTAACGGCCAACTGTCTAATAGACAAATCTCTGGAGAAAATATCGCCATATTTAAGAAACATCAAAATTCTGCATGCCGCCTATAATAGTTTCACTGCATTACCAGAAGACTGCGCCATGTCCTGGACGGAAATAGAAGAACTGGTGTTTTCGGGGAACAAACTGTTGAAGTTGCCTGATAGGATAGGGTTTTTAAAGCACCTGGCGGTGCTGAGGGTGCACTCAAATTTGCTACAGAGCATACCCAAGCTTTCGAATCTCGTTTGTTTGAGGGTTTTGGATTTGGCTCACAATCAACTAGACAGGATAGATTTGACGTCTCTAATTCCCCCAAATTTGAAATTTTTGGATTTATCTTGTAACACGAAACTTCACGTCGACTCTCAACAGTTCAACACGTACAGAACCCAAAGACCCATGAGTCTCGTGGATGTTTCTGGAAAAAACAGGACAACCCTTCCACTCACACCATCGCCTTTCTGCGAAAACGATCTCACCGATTACAGCTGGAGCGTCGGCTTTTCCGAAACCGCAGGTTGTAAGCAAAGACTTTACATTTCTCAGATTAGGTTGCCGGCGTTTTGTAACACGGAGGGACTGTTCGGGATGTTCGACGGAGAAACCAACAACAACGTACCCGTGGGGGTCGACAAAGTACCACTTTTTTCGCACTATGTAATCACCACCATTAATTAAAATTTCTTGTAGGTAGTACCTAGGATCCTTCTCGAAGAACGCACCGTCAAAGAAACCGCCTCCGACTACATGAAGTACACTATGCTCTCCGCCCACCGCGAACTCAAAGACAAAGGGCAGAAGCAAGGGCTCAACGCCATCATCTGCCACATCCTTCGTTCCAAGCAATCCGTCGAGTACTCGTTTTGCGCCAGCGTGAAGAAGTACGTCATGAAAATAGCCAGCGTGGGGGACATCAGGGTGGTACTCGGACGTGCGGCGGGCCCCGTACGCCTCCTCCCGATCAAACAAAGAAAGCAAATCCGGACCAACCCGCAAATCCAACTAATGGTACTACTCGAATTTTTGACTTCACGTTTCTAAACACGAGTTGCAGGTGCCGGACCCGGACGTGACGGAACTCTTCCTCGACGACCAAGACGAGTTCATGATCATCGCGAACAAGAACTTGTGGGACGTCATGACTCCTGAGAATGCCATCCGCGAAGTGGCGCTCCAACGCAATGTGATTCTTGCCGCGAAGCGGCTCCAGGACTTGGCGCAGAGCTACGGTGCTGAAGACAACTTGAGTATCATTGTGGTCAAGTTTAACTTGATGGGGGGAGACGTGGATTTGCTTATGAGGGAACTGCGGCAAACCATCAGGCGCAACAAGTACCAAAGCGACAGTACTACTTCGTGTCAGCCGGGGTGTTGTTGCGAGGCATTGAGCAACGAGTGTGCCAACTGTGAAAAGATTCAGGTACCACCGCCTCTACTCCTCAACGACGATAGATCTTCTCCGAGTGGTCAAAGTGAGCAAGCTTGCAGCGACTGTAACTCTTCGGCGAAACTCTTCGTCAACCAATTGAATCGATCGGTGCGTAGCGTCACTCCTTCCATTTTCGAGAGTGTTGAGGTGAAGGCGAATCCTGAAAGACGAAGCTACAGAGGAGTGGCCAAAGCACTGAGAGCTCGACGGGAAGAAGACAAGAACCAAGATTCAGACTCTGCTTTGTCTGAGGAACAGTTCAAGTGCTGGGAGTACATGTTGGAACAGAACACCCAACTTCTATTTGACAAAGAGTTGAATACTCTGACGAGGAATATGAGGAAGCCGTTTGGGGCAAAGAACCCGGTTTTATCGAGAAGCAATCCGCAACTGGCCGACAGTAACAACAACGGTACTTTCCTATCGCGACAATTCGGGAGTACAAGGTCTTTCAATCCGCTGCTGACGAGATCTACGTCCAAATTTAACGTTGACAAGAAGTTGATGGGAGGACCCCATGCGGCGTACTTCGGGAGCCTCCAAAGGCTGATGCCGTACAACCTGGAGTACGACTTTGCGGTGATGCACGAACGAGGGCTTGCGGATTCACTGGATTTGGACAGAATGCAGCAATACTGGGGGGTGACCACGACGGAGTTGTAAATTGTTTTATTATGTATTGTATAAAAGTTAGCTCTGTAGGTGAATGTGTTGGAAAATACACGATTCTGTTTTACGAGATTGCTTTTTTTTTAACGAAATCGTGACCCTTAAATGTTAGCAGCGGCGCCGCCGCTGGTCGTTTGATTCTTCTCCGCCCCGACGCCCTCTGCCGAGCCGGCCGCCAACTCGGCGTTCTTCCCGGCCGCGAACCGCCCCCGCTTTCGCCCCCGGCCCGGCGAGCGCGCCCCCGTCGCCGTCGACCGTAGTAGCGACGTGACGTAAGAGTGCCGGGACGTCAGTATCAGTGCAGCGGCAGTATCTATGAGTGCAGCAGCGTCGTCTCACAGTTGCTGGTCTTAGGTCACTTACCATGTATGACCACATTAGCGTCGACGACCAGTGGTAGTGTTCTGTGACTTAAAAAAAAATCGTCCAGTGGCGCCGAGCCCCGAAAAAAATCGGTAAGTCCCTGTCGATATTTTTCCAGATTAAGTCACAAATCCGCGTCTCGCTTATAAATTGCCACCGAAAAAAACTGACGGCCGCGTTGATTTTCGGTTTTGAATATTCAGTGGCCGATTTACAATTCTAAAGTAAGCCGATTTCCATGGCGCGCGGCGAAATTTAATTAACTTCCAGGACGCGCTTTTCTTGATGATAATAATGGTAACGTTTATTGGGTGACGGGGAAAAAAGTAATGGGAAAGAATTTATTATGAAATGCGTCAGGAGTGGATTTTTTAAACTGTTTGACTTGTGTATTAGCTATGAATGTTGCGTTGTAGCTTCTAACTGCTGGCGGAATATAGAAAGTAAAGTATAAAATGTTACTTCTGGGCCAGGGCATTTGAGGTCTTAAAAAACAAGGCATAATCTTACAAATTTAGCTGTTTGCCCAGAAACAAACAACCGAAAAAGGCCTAAAACCTCTCAAAAAGCATTAATTTTTATCCACCCCAAAAGTAAAAATTTGGCACACGAAAAAACCGTTAAAATCTCCCAAAATATTGCAAAATTACCTCAAGAACGCCCTAAAAAACTAACAAAATACCTTGTTTTTACACACCCAAAATGGCTTTTTACTTCTAGACCAGGAGATTTGGCGTCTTAAAAATCAAAGTTGAATCTTACAAATTTAGCTGTTTTCCCAAAAGTCAACAACCGAAAAAGGCCTAAAACTCTTTAAAGAGCATTAATTTTTATTAACTCCCAAAAGTACCCAAATATTAGTAGAGCACCAAAAATTGGGCACATGAAAAAGTCCTACAAATTTAGTGTTTTCTCAAAAGCAAACAGCCGAAAAAGATCTAAAAAAACTTACAAAATGCCTTGTTTTTAAGCATCCCAAAATGGCTTTTTATTTCTGGACCAGGACATGTTGTATTTTGTTAGTTTTTTAGGGAGTTCTTGAGGTAATTTTGCATTATTTTGGGAGTTTTTAACGGTTTTTTCGTGTGCCCAATTTTTAGTAGTCTACACTTATTTGGGTACTGTTGGAGTGGATAAAAATTGAAGCTTTTTGAGAGGTTTTAGGGCTTTTTCGGTTGTTTGCTTTTGGGCAAACAGCTAAATTTGTAAGATTCTGCCTTGTTTTTTAAGACGCCAAATGCCCTGGCCCAGAAGTAACATTTTATACTCTACTATGGAAAGTTAAGTACTCTAACAGGTCCGGAATAACTATTTTAGCATGAATTAACTGCCATGCGAAGCGTGCACTATACGTTTCTCGACGCTTCGCAAAACTTGGAACGGCGTGTCTCTCTAACAACAATCTAGATTCAAGGTTTCTTCGCTGTGTCACTATTCTAAACTTTTTTGCTGCATAGTGTGTTGCATAAAAGATGTACAAAACCGTAGAAATCAATGTAAAGTACAAGATTTTGATTCGTCTGTGGTGCAAACTCCGTTAACACCACTGCATACGCTAAAGCTTACACTTTGCTGAAGTAAGAAAGTCGTTCATAAAGAGAATAAAAAGGACAAGAGCTAGATTTGACCCCTGAGGGGTGTCACAACCAGCTACAAACTCGTATGATCGAAAACCATTTAAGACACATAATTGACTCTATTATATAGATGTGAAGACAGCAATTTCGGTAGACGTGGAGCGAAGCCAAAAGCAATCAGCCCTCTTAAAATATCACATAATGTATTATCGAAGGCACAAAAATCCGTGTAAATGACATCGACTTATCGTATATGTAAACTTAAATTATTTTCGGGCTAACTAAATATCTTGGCTGTTTTTTCTGGAAAATGGAAAGAGCAAAGGTTTCGTCCTGCATTAGCATTGAACACTCCCCCCACCCCACTTTTCCTTCTTGTAGTCTCTCAAACATGTTGGACTTTCAGCTGTTAAGTATTTGGTTAACTAATTTGAAAGGATTTTCGTCGATCTTATCGTTATTCTCAAAAGTATGTTCACTAAGGGTTGACTTTTAAAATTTGTTCCATTTAAACTGAGGGCTCCTTGAATTGCGTGACACTTGACCTGTTTATTTATTCAATTTAATTTAATTTAATTTAATTTATTTATAACGGAATCTCCAATTTACATTCTACAATTATTGCACTAAATTAACTAAATAATTCATATTCGAAGAGAGTGTTCCCTAATATGTAGATAATAATAATATTGAGTATACTTACTTTTAATGAGAAGCTTTACAATTGCGTTAAAAATCGCTTGGAAAATATTCAGATTTTGCTTTTCATACTACAGGAAAAATTGTCTGTTGAATTGACAAATGTTTCTTGGTAAGTTGTTGTTTCAAGTTAACATAAAACAAAGTATGTATTTAGTAGTGTTTTTCGTGTTTGTAGTTGTTATTACCGTCATTATTTGAATAAACATATTTCCGAACGTTTTGGGATTTTTTTTGTGTTTCTCTGCCGGCGTCTCGGAGGCCTTGAGGAGGGTCCGTTCCGTGCCGAAACGTCGCCGTAAATCGTGCCGGCACGAAAAAAGCGGAATTAAGTCCCGATTAAGCCGGCGATAAAAATGTTCGCGGAATGTAGATCGCCTTGTCGAACAGGCGGCGCAATTTTCGCTTTTTTACAACAAAAATACAAATTTTTTCCAATTATTAAACAAACAGAGCGCCAGGCGGGGGTCGGCCGCTGATTTATTCAACACGAAAAAAGTAATGTCACCGAATATGATTACAGGGTAAACCGATAAAACCACGACACATTTAAAAGTCACGTAACTTTAATGTTAATCAAATTATTTCAGGTCTACTTTCTTTGAACTTTCGACTTGAGAGTTTAGGGAAAACGCCGCCTCTGCTTCGCGCTGCCGTGGGGTGTATTATGCAAATTTTTTATGATGGCACCGGCGGGGGCGGCGCGGGGGCGACTCGGCGGCCGGCGTAAACACTGGCGATACGGCGGCATCGCGGAAACGGACGTCGAATTCGGGAGGAGCGGTATCTGGGTTAATAGCGACAATAACGGAACGGAATGCTTCCACGTTTTGATCGAAATTATACGCTGTTTGTCTGATGGATATCGAAAATTTATTAATATGATGTCGGATAAGAAGGTTACGATTTATTGATGACGAACTCGCGCACACACGCACGGAGACGCTCTTCTATGTATTTTTAAATGCGCTCTGGAGGCTCGTTCGTCCGCCACCGGCCCACGCTCTTCCGCGTTGCCGTCCAACATCTACACCAGCCTCGCCTCCGATTGGTCAGCGATCGAAAAACACACCGACGGCCCCTAACGACCCCCGAGAACCGTTCGCCGTAAGAACAAAATAACATCCTACTTAACGAAACGAATTCTTGCAACATTGATCAGCCCATCGGAGCAAAGCCTTCCCGCAAGAGCTCGCCGCCGCCGGCCCGGCCCCTGCGCTTATCCTGATTAAAATCAGCAATCGATCATCGTCATCGTCAACGATGATTCCCCTTTCGCCGCAGCGGAATTTTCAGCGGAACGTCTTGAATTTTTCAGCGAGGCCGAACGCCGCTGCTGCATTGCGTTTGCGGGCGCATCAACCCCGCCGAAAATGCAGCTGCGGCGCCCCGATATCATGCACCGGACTATCAACCCGCTGACCTTTGCCCTTTGCCCGTTATTCCGTTATTATTGCGGCGGTTGTTTCCAAGTGCACGGCCGGCTTTAATTCCGGCACTGTGCGCCGTTACGACCGTGAAATTGCAACGTTGTGTTACGTTTTGTGGGCTGATTTGATGGTGCAATTTCGTTATTGCGGACGGTTATAGGGGAGGTGGGGGGCGGCGATGCGCCGCGGAGTGCATTCGGGCCGGCGGTGGAGAAAAGTTGCGGAAATTTCTATCGAAGTTGGGCCGGTTGAAAGTTCGGAAAAAGCAAATGGAATTTGCCGTTTTGACGGTCGGCAAAGATTCGATTCTGAAACGGTGGTACGTTTTTAGTGAGCGAAGCGAGCTGCAACGGTGTTTTAAATTTCGTTATCACAATCTTTCGGTATCCAAACTGAATGTCGTATTTTTAGTTACCTTTGCCATCTTGTGAAAACTTGCCTTAATTCAGGGTTTTTCATAATGACATTTTCCGAACATCGCCCACCGTGGACAGAAAAAAATCTTGATCTATATATAAACAAGGATAAGGACTGAAAATCGACTTTGACCTTTCGAGTCTTACAAACGCGTTCAAAGTTTTCAGTTTTCAACACTCTTCTAATACGTCCAGAACATTCAGCGTTTTCTAAATTCGAAACACTTCAAAGCTGTAAAGTCAAAAGCAAGGCTGAAGAGTTAAATAGAAACATTCGCAAAGTCATCAGAACGTGAAAAAAATGCGAAAAGTTCAATTTTGGTCATTTTTCGGGCGTCCTTTTGGCGGCGTTTTCCCGCGTCAATTTTTGTTTTTCGAAAGCGGCCTTCGCGTCGGCCGCCGTCCCGATAATCGCGCAATTTACGCGATTCGCCGAAAAGCCTCCGTTATAAAGTCGTCATTAATTCAGCGAGGCTGGCAAAGCCCCTAATCCTGAAATATGGACATTATGCATTTATCGAGCGGCGTTTAACGGCTCATATTCGACGAGATAAATCCGAGAGACGGTTTAATGAACCGATAAATCAAAAACCAATAGGAAATCGAGCCGATAAATTTTTTAAAAAGGTCGCGCGCAACACCGCCGTCTCCGCATAAATTTCACTTTTCATAATAATTCCGGGCCGGGCATGTTAGTTTGGCAAACGCCATTAGCCCGTCACCGGATCCGATTAAGTGGCCGACTTCAAAGACCGTAATTAATTTCGGGAATTATCAAACGTTGCGACATTAAAGACACAATTAAAATCTAATTAGCGGCGGCAATTAAAAAATGGACGCTTGCCGATACGGGGCGAAATTGGTTTAATGCCGGAAATTTCGGCCGGAGAAAATCGGTTAAAACAAGCGAGGCCGTGTTTGGCTTCCATTAGGCGCGCACAAAGAAATCTAATCATTTCGAAAAATATCG